TTCGACACACGCTGCACGCGCTTGCTTTTGTCTCTCTATACAAAATCAAATGCGCGATTTAAGCATAAGCATGTGTTGCAATTTATGCAGATCCGTACAGATCTAATGCGAAGTCCGATATCTGATTGGTCGGTCGGTGCTCGGTCCTCGGTATTGGCGTATTGGTCTTGTCGCGTGACGTGGCTTAAAATTTGAATGCGAAAATTTTTTTATTCGGGTATTTTGGATCTTACGTTACGTTGAGTGACTAGTGACTCACCGACTGTGTGGCTGTGTAGAAGGGTAGTGCAAGACAATGGATGTGGTTTACAGACTTATCAGCGTGAAACGATTCTGGAAATACACATTTGAAGAAAAAATTGAGCTGAACGTGTCAGGTCGACCGCTGCCGAACATATTTATAGAAACACAGGGCGTTAGTTGGGGCAAGGGCTATACGCGGAATTTCAGCAGGGAGATTTACAAGATTTGTGGGTGCAATAGGAAGAATGCCCTTTTCTGCTTTCCTTGCATACTTTTCGGGGATGACAAAGCTTGGACGGGGTAGGTGTTACAGATTTAGTGCACCTGAGTGAAAAAATTAAGAAGCATGAAAACTCTAAAGCACATCTTCATAATTCGATGGAATTGACTTTATTGGGGACTTTTAACATCAGAGCTCAGTTAGATTCAGCATATTGGAAAAATATACAACAGCATAATGATACCGTTACAAAAAACAGGTACGTTCTATCAAAAATAATCGATTGAATAAAAAACCGAGAGCTCCCAAACCCGGGAATATTTCGTGGACTGATTAACTTTTCTACTGAGCTTGATACAACCTTAAGCGAACACATAAAAAATGCTTCAATATTTAAAAGAACTTCGAAAGAAATACAAAACGATCTACTGGATTGTATTCTTGAAGTTTGTCGTAAAAAAATAATAAAACAGATTACCAGAGCCTGGTATTTGGCGATAATAGCAGATGAAACAACGGACATTTCGGGGAAAACCCAACTGGTAACAATTTTTCAGATACGTATTTAACGGCGAACCAGTAGAACCTTTTTGGAATTATATGAATCCCGAAAATCTGACGCTGATACTCTCATAAGACATATTTTGAGCGTCGTAGATCCATTAATAGGAAATTTCCCTAACAAACTGATTTCACAAAGCTATGACGGAGCCGCGGTAATGAGCGGACAAAATGCTGGAGTAAAGGCAAAAATTAAACAAAGATATCCATTTGCTCACTATGTGCATTGCTATGGGATCAGTTAAACCTGGTTATGTCCCAAGCTGCTTACCCAAAAGCTCAAGTTCGGGTGTTCTTTCGGAATTTGAAAGATATTCCGGGATTTTTTAATAATTCTCCTCAACGCGTAGAGGTACTGAACAGAATTGTGGGAAAAAAATTCCACGAAGAGCAACAACTCGTTGGAATTTTAATATTCGAACAATAAATGTAGTGTTTGGGAACAGATAGTCACTCATTGAATGCATGGAAGAAATAGAAGAATATTTCACAAATGAACCCGTTGCAAGGCAGCTTGCGGTATTCTGTTTTCGTGTTTTGGTTGACATTTTTTCATCATGTCATGCCTCACGTGGACATCTTGTTCAACCAGTTGCAGAAGAGAAAAACCGAGCCAGCGCAAGTTAAAACGGCTATCGATAATTTTGATAAATGTATTGTCGATGTGAGAAATAGAATTGATGACATAAAAATGAAGCCAAAAGTATTTGCACAGAACCCCAACGCAACAAAAGGAGACGACGTAATAATAGCAGTCACGATCACCGAGTTGCCACATTAGAAGTATGCGACAATATAGTGAATTCTGCAAATGACAGATTTCAATTCAAAGATCATTTGGTAGCCGCATCCCTTTTTTCCCCAAACACTTTGGAGAATACTGTGGTAAGTTTCCTGATGACAAGTTGGAAACTACCTGCTTGGCTTATCCCGAATTAGAAAAAGTCGTTTAAAGACAGAGTTGTCTGTTATTTATGCACGTAATGGTTGCCGAGATTTATATGGAACTCTGTCTCTTTTGAAATTTTTTATACAAAATAGTTTGGAGGAAATACAAAAGAAACAAAAAAGCTATCAGAAATTATTGTTACAACTCCTATGTCAACATCAGAGGCTGAGCGAAATTTCTCAACATTGAAAAGAATCAAGACTTACCAGGAATTTATTTCGACCATGGAAAATTTCAACGGGAAGGTGATCGACAAATTTGTGCTCGAAGCAGCG